TAAATAAAAAAAAATAAAACTGAAAACCTTTACATTTCTTTATAATACTTAATTTTTACATTTCATGGTTGAATTATTATAAAAGCATTAAGTGGCCAGCTGCAACATTCACAGTTGCTCTTTGTTGATGGTCTTATGTCACCTAATTGGATTTTACATTATGTATGGTGATGTCTCAAAGATGTTAAAGGACCATCATTATAGGTTACTAAGACCTCGCTTGAGTCCAAACATAAAATAGAAAAATCTAATAAAGTTGCAATATGTTGTTTAAAAAAAAAAAGAAGAAAAAGGGCTGGGATGTGATTCGGTGAGTGGTTAAGCACCCCTGGGTTCAATCCCTGGTACCAAAAAACAAAACAGTTAAAACAGTGACATAACTGATGATGAAAATTTGTCTAAATAATTTTCTAAAATAAAAACTCCATGTGACAGAAAAGCAGCCTCCCTTTTCTATTTAATTTCAGGGTTTTTCCCTTTCTCAGCGGTATAAACTAAAATGGTGGCTTAATCAATTTAATAGTAAGTAGTTTTTCCATTTTACGAAGAAAGGAATGTAGGCTCAGGGGAGTTGAGTTTCTTGTCAAACTGGCATACAGCTAAGAAAACGGCAGATCAGGGCTCAGCAGTAGAGTGCTTGCCTTGCACATGCAAGACCCTGGGTTCGAAGTGGAATAAAGATACTGTGTCCAACTACAACTAAAAAAGAAATTTCAAAAGAGGTTAGCTTGATTCTCCAGAGCATACTTTTATCTGTAAATTTTGGCTCATTATGTTTATAATAAATCAGAGAGAGGCTCAATATAGTTTTAAAAAGTTACCTTATCTATGCTTACAGTGCAGTTGTTAAATCTTGTCTTGTCTCTTGTCCCKGTCCTTACCTCAATTAGCTGTTGACAGGTCCATGACTGCCAGTCTGAGTGACGCCCGAGATGCTCTAGTGAATGCCGTCATTGACTCTCTTGCAGCTTACCGATCTTCAGTCTTAAGTAACCAGCAGCCTGGACTCATGGTTCCTTTCTCTTTGAGACTTTTTCCACTTTTTGTATTGGCTCTCCTTAAACAGGTAAGAAAAACAAAACCAGAAACTAGCACAGTGAAAATGACAAAAGCCAAAATTTTTATTATGTGAAACACTAAACATTATTTAACTTTATGTCAGTTAAATTTTCTGAGGATAGGGACCTGACCTCTTATTTGAAACTTGAAAAGATTTACAGCCAAAGAAATTTAAGAATAATTGATTTAAAGCAAATGCCTTGAGCATAAGAGATACTAAACATTAAAATGTTATAAAAAATTCAGTTTTCCAAAACATGAATCGTGTATTTTATTTCTAGCACAAGAAGACACATGTACTCCATGTTCTCACTTATACCTGGAACCTAAAAAATCAAACAAAAACAGAAAATAGAATGGTGGTTACCAGAGACTCAGGGGTGAAGAGGATGGGGAAATATTGGTCAAAGTTAGACTGGAGGAATAAGCACATGATAGGTGTTGGATATGAACCAGATGGGGTGATATATGCCTGCAATCCCAGAGACTTGGGAGGCTGAGGCAGGAGAATCGTGCATTTTAGGCCAGCCTGAGCAGTTTAGCAAGAACCTGTCTCAAAACACTGCTAGAGATGTAGCTCAGAGGTAGAACACTCATGGATTCAATTCCAGGTACTGGGGGGAAAAAAGTATTCAAGATCATGGATTATTGTGTATTAGTCAGCTTTTTGTCCTTATGTCCCAAGTATACAACAAAAACAACTTAGAGGAGAAAAAGCTTATTTTGGCTTATGGTTTCAAAGGTTCAGTCTCTGTTGGGCCAACTTTATTGCTCTGGGCCCAAAGTGAGACAGAACATCACCTCAAAAGGGGATGGCAGAGGATTGCCACATGACAGCCAGTCCAAGGGGAAAGGGCTGCTGGGAAAACTCTTCTAGGACACATCCAGTGACATACCTCCTCCAGCCACACCCCATCTACTGCAGTTACCACCCACTTAGTCCATTCAAATAAGGATGAACCTATTAGGTTCTAGCTTTTATGGTCTAATCATTTAATCTCTGAATATTCCTGCATTAACACAGGAGTTAGGTGTTGAGTTTTCTTTTTGGTACTAGTGATTAAATCCAGGATTGCTTAACCACTGAGCCACATGCCCAGTTGCCTTTCCTTTTGTGATCCTATAGCCTTTTTTTTTTTTCAAGTTATAGGTGGACACTGTATCTTTATTTTTTATTTACTTATGTTTTTATGTGGTGCTGAGAATCGAACCCAGTGCCTCACGTGTGCTAGGCAAGTGCTTTACCACTGAGCTACAACTCCAGCCTCCTGAGGCACTTTTTATAGCTTTATTTATAGGACTTTTCATTTGACTCATTATTTATGTCTCCCCTGCTTGTTCTTTGTACCTTCTTTACCTCCCCCAAGAGAAAGAACTCTAGGCTGGTGGAATAGGCTTATTTGTCCCGTGTCCAGAATTATACTTTAAGTAAACTTCCCTTATAGATTTTAATTTTTATTTTATTTTATTTATTTATTTAGGTTCTGGAGATTAAACCTAGGGATGTTTTACCACTGAGCTACATACCCAGCTCTTTTTATTTTGAGACAGAGTATCAGTAAGTTGCTAAGGCTGGCCTTAAACTTGTGATCCTCCTGCCTCGGCCCCCCAGGTTTCAGGGATTACAGGCATGTGCTACCAATCCCAGGTCTTATAAATTTTTATTTAAAAGCTCATGTTAAGCCAGGCACAGGATAACAAATTTGAAGACATCCTCGGCAACTTAGCAAGACCCTATTCAATCTCAAAAGAGAAGGACTTGGATGTAACTCAGTGGTAAAGTGCCCCTGAGTTCTATCCCCAATACCAAAATAAGTAAAAACCTAGCTTCGTGTTAATGCTTTTTATTAAAAGCACTGATCAAAGACTGCTCTGGATCTTATTAATTTCTGTACTTTTTCACTTCCCTAGGTCTACCTGTATCCTGGTATGGTGGTATATGCCTGTAATTCTAACAGTTGTAGGAGGTTGAGTTAAGAGGATCATAAGTTTGAGGCCAGCCTCAGCAACTTAGTGAGACCCTGTCTCAAAATAGAAAATTAAAAGGGCCAGGGATGTGGCTCACTTGTTAAGTGCCCCTAGTAGGTTAAATCCTTTGTACCAAAAGAAAAAAAAAAAAAGATCTGCCTGTCTGGTATATATAATTTCTTCCAGGTGAGATAGGGAACCTACTGTTCCTTAATTGGGATGACTTTTGAACCAACAAGACCTAATAGTAACAATTTTAAGGAGGAAAAGTTTATTTGGGGCTCATGGTTTCATAGGTCTCAGTCTGTAGATGGTTGACTTCATTCCTTGGGTCCTGATGTGAGGCAGACTTCATGGTGGAAGTGTGTGGCAGAGCACAGCAGCTGAGAACATAGCAACTGGAAGCAGAGAGTTTTGTTCAACAAGGACAAAATATATTCCCTAAAGGCATGCCCCCAGGGACCCACCTCCTCCAACCATACCCTACCTGCCAATAGTTACCATTTAATCCCTATCAGAAGATTAATTCATGATTAGATTAAGGCTTTCATAACCCAATCATTTCATATCTAAACTTTCTTGCATTTTCTCATATATGAGCTTTTGGGTGCCACCTCACATCTAAACCATAACATCATCTTTTATTTGTARTAAGTGCATTTGTTTCAAAGCATAATTTCATTGTTGTTTCCCTCTGTCTCTTTTTTACTCCTTTTCATCAACTGGAACTTTTTAAAAACCTTACCTCAAAACTTCATTATTCCCCACAAAGCTGCATTACCAGTTAAATCTCACTGTAATGCTATTCTTTTTTTTTTTTTTTTAAGAGAGAGAGAGAGAATTTTTTAATATTTATTTTTCAGTTTTCAGCGGACACAACATCTTTGTTTGTATGTGGTGCTGAGGTTCGAACCCAGTGCCTCGAGCATGCCAGGCAAGCGCGCTACAGCTTGAGCTACATCCCCAGCCCCGTCATTGATTTTTAAGCTTTGGTACATTGCTTATTTCTTTAACAGTGGAAGAAACAATGATAGCCATCGTCAATTATCACTCAGCATTTATAGAGCACTTAATGGGTGTCATTGGTCCTTATTTTATCTATAGTGTAGTGTCATCCTTCTTGTAGTGTTAATCATTATGTCACTTTCTCTATATGGCATATAGAGTGTAGCTACCATTTCTTTCAGTAAATGCTGAGCACATTAATTAGCTTCATAGAGAATAATGAGGTTTTGATGGAAAGGAGTAAAAGAGATGACCCTATTTTATTGATTAGGGAACAGACACCAAGGAGATCAAATAACTTTGCCATGGTTTGTTAATTAATTTCTTAAGACATTTAAATAAACCTATGGTCACCATTTAATACACTATTTAATATATGTATTATATATATATATATATATATTTTTTTTTTTTTTTTTTTTAAAGAAGTGTGTGACTTCTTAAAAAATATTTTTTTAAGATTTTTTAAGGACTGGGATTGTGGCTCAGCGGTAGAGTGCTTGCCTAGCATGAGCGTTAGGACCCGGGTTTGATCCTCAGCACCACATAAAAATAAATCCATTGTGTTGTGTCCATCTACACCAAAAAATAAATTWAAAAAAAAGATTTTTAAAATATTTTAATATTTTTAAAATATTTTTTAAAAATAATTTACACTAAATCTTCCCATTCTGTCAGAAGATAATCTTTTTACAACTAACATTTACAAAGTTCTATATTTTGTTTTGCTTTTTGTTATAGAAATCATTCCAGACTGGGACAAATGCTCGTCTAGATGAACGCATCTTTGCTATGTGTCAAGTGAAAAATCAGCCCTTGGTTTACCTTATGCTTACAACACATCCCAGTTTGTATAGAGTTGACAATCTCTCTGATGAGGTAAGATCAATTTTCTTTTTTAGTGGCTTTTCCTTGAAGGTTTATAAGCTTAATGTCATATTTAGTCTAGTACAGAATTATGGAAGGATCTGTTATTAAAATTCATTATTTATTTATTTATTTATTGCTTGCTAAGTTTATGTAAAGAAATTTTAGAGCCAGCCACTGTCGCACATGCCTGTAATCCCAGTGACTTGGGAAGCTGAGGCAGGAGGAGCTCAAGTTTGAGATCAGCCTCAGCAACTTAGCAAGACCCTGTCTCAAAATTAAAAAAAAAAAAAAAAAAACAAGCTGGGGATGGGCTCAGTGGTTAAATGCCCCTGTGTTCAGTCCGTGGTACCAAAAAATGAATAAATAACAAACTACAAAAATGTTCAGTTTAGGGAAGCTCTGGAAAATAGTGTCTTTCAGTTTCCAAAGACAAATCTCTAGAGCAGATCTAAGAAAGTATGAGATTATCAAATTGACCAGAGAAACCTACTTATTTATTTAAACAAATTGATCTGTATCTTGAGCATGAGATTATACCTGAACACCTAGGTCAATGTTCAGTGTAACAGTGTCCTTGAATTAAAGGAAAAATACTTATCCAAGTTGTAATGTTTTTGGCTTTTGATAGAAAATTTATTGGGGTTAAAGTCATAAGCATGAAGTCATAATCTTTCTAAAATTGTGATCAAGTTTAGATATTGTATGTTGAAAATAGTGTTTTGGTTAAAACCTTTTAAAATGTAAAGAATTTTAGATAACTTAAATTGTGAAACGTGAGGGTTTTGTTTTGTTTTTGCAAATGAAAACTCTTGTGAACATTATTAATTTATATTACAAAAATAAATATATGTATATATAACTGAAGATTAATCCTGTTGGATTAAGTTCAGTTAAGTGTGTTCAATTAAGTAGGCTTTACTTTTTTTCACATTAAAATATAACATCATGACAAATTAACAAAAATATCAAATGTAGGGGCTGGAGATGTGGCTCAAGCGGTAGCGCGCTCGCCTGGCATGCGTGCGGCCCAGGTTCAATCCTCCGCACCACATACCAACAAAGATGTTGTGTCCGCTGAGAACTAAAAAAAAATAAATATTAAAAAAAAAAAATCAAATGTAATTTATTATGTCTATAATATGGATACCACTAGAGAGAATCTATTAGACTTTAAGATTTAAAGACTCTGCATTAGTTTCATAGTTTCYGATCAGCCTTCTCTATATAGACTAGAAAACAGAGCAACTTCCTTTCCTCACCATCTGAAAAAGACAAAGCTCCATTTTCTTAGTTCACATGTGAAAATCTCTGAGGGAAATTTCTCACTGGGTGTATTGGGGTTATAGTCTCTTCTGCTCCCCACTTTTCCCAAGGCCAGAAATTTCAAAGTACTATATTACTAGTATTGAGCTAAAAGCCTCATCACTAAAGTGAAAAGAACAGGTCTCTCAAACAACAGGGAGTGCAAGATGGGAGTGATGCTGAAAGCAAAAGCACAGAGTAATAGTGTCCTCTACAAGTACACTCTCTTCCTGTCCTTATTTTCCACACTTAATTTTGTTTGCTGTACTTAATTTTTGAATTCTGATGTTTTTGTGCTTTTGAACATTAAATGAATTAGTATATGTAAATCACTTAGAACAGTGCCTGGCCATAGGCACCATATAGATCATAACTATTATATCACTACCTCCACCATTATTAGCATTGTTATTATCATGATCTTTATCATAACTAAGCATATTTAGGAGTTGGAGATGTAACTCAATGGTTTTAGTTTTTGGTGGACACAATATCTTTATTTTACTTTATGTGGTGCTGAGGATCAAACCCAGTGCCTCATGCATGCTAGGCAAGCACTCTACCACTGAGACACAACCCCAGCCTATTGTCACATTTGTTTTTAAAGCTAGTTAAGATCAGAGATTAATTTTAGCTGGGTACATTGTCATCCACCTACCATCCCAGCAACTCGGGGAGTTTGAGGCAGGGGAATCACAAGTTTGAGATCAGCCTCAGCAACTTAGTGAGGGTCTAAGCAATAGAGAGAACCTGTCTTAAAAAATAATAAAAAGGGCTGGAGATGTAGCTCCATAGTTAAATACTCCTGCTTTAAATCACCAGTACCAAAAAATTAATAAGTTAATTTGGAGTTGGGCGTGATGGCACACGCCTATAATCCCAGTGGCTTGAGAGGCTAAGACTGGAGAATCGCAAGTTCAAAGCCAACCTCAGCAACTTAAAGGCACTAAGCAACTCAGTGAGATCCTGTCTCTAAATAAAATACAAAATAGGGCTGGGGTTGTGGCTCAGTGGTCGAGTACTCCTGAGTTCAACCCCCACTATCGAAAAAAAAAGTTAATTTGGCTTTCTTGGGATTCACAGTGGCTTTCTGTATCATCTTCATATTTAGTTGTGAATAACTATAATTTGCCTAGTAAGGCCCATACTCTTAGAGGTAACGTTCCTTTTTGTTGTTAATTGTGACTGTATTTTCTGTACCTGAAAGCCTTAATCTTTTGTTTAATTCCCCAGGGAGCACTCAACATCAATGACAGAACCATACCTCAGCCTCCTATCCTTCAACTCTCTGTGGAGAAGCTGAGTAGAGATGGGGYTTTCCTCATGGATGCAGGCTCTGTGAGTAGTTTGACAACTCTTGACCCTTCTTCCTCTAACTAGTTTATCTTTTTTAGCATTTGGCTTCATTCCTCTTAATATTTCTCTTCTTGAACAGATGACGTACTCTTTAACCTACATATTCCTGTTGGCCATTTGCTGCCTTCACAGCCTCTGTTTTATGTCATGCATGAAATGTCTCATCCCAGTAAATACTGAATTGTTATTAGTTCAGTTACAGGCTGTACACTCACTAAATATACTCAACCTTTAGATCTTTCAAAGCATACTAAGTGGTAGTGGTAAAGGTGAGTGAATAAACTATTAGGCTACCTCTCAAAATAATTTTATTCCTTTCACAGGTACTGATGCTTTGGGTTGGAAAAAATTGTGCACAAAATTTTCTCACCCAAGTTTTAGGAGTTCAAAACTATGCATCAATTCCACAGACTATGGTAAGATGCTTTTATTTTAGTGATTATAGATGACTTAAAGGATGCTTCACATGTGACAAAAATATGACTATTCTATTTTGAAATCAGAAATTCATATTGTGTATTTCTCCAAATGAGAAAATAAACCCACATTATGTTTCTTTCAAACTGAAAATACTCTCATTTTACATTTTTGTCTTGTTTGTTTGTATTTTGAGACTAGGTCTTGCTCTGTTTCCAAGTCTGGCCTTGAAATCGTGAGTTTAAGACATCCTCCTGCCTTGGTCTCCCAAGTAGCTGGGATTACAGGCGTGCATCACCATGCTATGTTTTAATGGCATTCTTTGTCCATTTGCATTATTGATTTGTCTATTCTTATGTGTTTAACACAGTATTCTATTTTGAGGAGAAAGCATTGAATATAGTTAATGATCAAAAAAGGATTTGCTGCAAATGGCATTAATGCATTGTGACATTTTTGGTTTTGACAAGTGATTTCTTATTTTTGGCAAGATCTTTTAAGCTGCTGCTTTGGAGAGAGAATTAAACTAATTTGCTGTACTGGTTTACATAACAAATAATAGGTGGTCATTGTTGGTTGAATTAATGTTAATTATTGAAAAAAGTAATAATGGGACTCTTGTCTGTCACTAATTGTGTGTTTTTGGACAAGTCACTCAGTAATCAGATTTGTAAAATAAGAATGCTCTTAGTCAGGCATGGTGGTGCATGTCTGTAATCCCAGCAACTCAGGAGGTTGAGGCAAGAGGATCACAAGTTTGAGGCCAGCCTCAGCAATTCAACAGAAACACTGTCTCAAAATTTAAAAATTAAAAAGAGTTGAGGATATAGTTTGTAGCTCATCAGTAGAGTGCCACTGGGTTAAATCCCCAGTACCGTGGGGAAAAAATTAGAATGTTTTTGCTTATGGAGGAATGATTGAAATAACCCATGATAAATCACTTGTAAAATGGATAGTTTTGAATAATAAAGTTAGAATTAATAATAGATCATTTCGGGGGGGCTGGGGTTCTGGCTCAGCAGTGGAGCTCTCGACTTGCACGTGCAAGACCCTGGGTTCAATTCTCTGCACCACATAAAAATGAATAAGTGAAATGAGGGTATTGTGTCCAACTGCAACTAAAAAATAAATATTAAAAAAAAAAAACACTACTGGAGTTGTGGTGCAGTGGTAGAGTGCTCGCCTAGCATGCATGAGGCACTGGGTTCGATCCTCAGAACCACATAAACGTAAAATAAAGATACTGTGTCTACCTAAAACTAAGAAATAAAATAAATATTATTTTTAAAAAACTATTAAAAAAATAATAGATCATCTCATATAGTGTCATTTTTCAGTCCCTACTGCCAGTTTGTATCCAACTTTTATATATCAGGATTCTATGACTGTTCATAGATGTCATTAAGGGTTTCATACATTTAAAAAAAGATTTATGTCAAGATTATAGCTAGGGCCGGGTGTGGTGTTACAAACCTGTAAATCCTAGTGACTTGGGAAGCTGAGGCAGGAGGATCTCAATTTGAAGCAACTTATAGAGACTCTGTCTCAAAATAAAAAACAAAGGGCTGGGAATATAGCTCAATGGTAAAGTACCCCTGATTCAATACTTAGTACTCCCTTCCCCCAAAAAAAGATTATAGCCAGGATTAGCAGTAGCTTTCAGGCCCGGAACAAAACTACTGGATTAGATGACCAGGTACTTTAAGTAATGAAGCAATAAAGAATCGTGATCTTTGTAATAACCATCTGAATGAATCAATTAATTCTAAATATCATAATAAAATGAAGAGAAGAGTTAAGCAAAATATACCTAAGGAGGTCTGCACCTGTTTTTGTAATTAAGGTTTTATTGGAACACAGCCATGCCCATCCACCTATATGTTGCCTCTTATCTGCGTTAGTATAACAGCAACAGAAACAAAATGAACTCCAAGCCCAAAGTATTTAGTGTCTGGTGCAACAAAATCACCAGGTACTTAATATATGTGGTTGTTATTTGTTTTGTTTCCTGATACTGAGAATTGAACACATGTTGGGCAGGTGCTCTACCATTGAGCTATATCCCTAGCCCCCACCTCTTTTTTAATTAGACTAGACTTCATTAAATGGCTCAGGCTGGTCTTAAACTTGAGATCCTCTCCCACTTCAGACTCCCTAAATAGCTAGTATTACAGATGTGTGCCACCAACCCAGCAACATTAAAATTTGAGGAGTACTATAGACCATACATTAAATATATAATTAGAGTACATTGGTTTTATTTAACAGACGGACCTTCCAGAACTTGATACACCAGAATCTGCCAGAACAGTAGCTTTTATCTCCTGGCTTAGAGAGCAAAGACCATTTTTCCCAGTACTTTACATAATAAGGTAAGTCAAATTTTTCATTTTTAAAACAATTTGGCCTTGCAAGAACCTGTTTTTTTGAATCATAGATATATGTGGCCTAATCCTAATGCTTAAGCAAACCTCTTAAAAGAATATGGAATTAAAATGAAAACATTCCTTCTAAAAACTGGAAAAAGACAGGGATGCCCTTTTTCATCACTTCTGTTTAACATAGGTCTTGAAACACTGGCCAGAGCAATTAGACAGATGAAAGAAATTAAAGGGATACACATAGGAAAAGAAGAACTCAAATTAGCACGATTTACCAACGATGAGATTCTATACCTAGAAGACCCAAAAAATTCCACCAGAAAAATTCTAGAACTAGTAAATGAATTCAGCAAAGTAGCAGGATACAAAATCAACACCCATAAATCAAAGGCATTTCTGTATATCAGTGACAAATCCTCTGAAAGGGGAAACTACCCCATTTACAATGGCCTCAAAAAAAGAAAAAAAAAAACTTGGGAATCAACCTAACAAAAGAAGTGAAATACCTCTACAATGAAAACTACAAAACACTAAAGAAAGAAATTAAAGAAGACCTTAGAAGATAGAAAGATCTCCCTTGTTCTTGGATGGGCAGAATTAATATTATCAAATGACCATACTACCAAAAGCATTATACAGATTTAATACAGTTCCAATCAAAATCCCAATGACATTCTGTTGCTGTGGGTCCCTCRGCTACACTCAATCGAGGCGGGTGTGGGGGATTCGGAGTTAAAACACAAGACACCTGGAGCTGCTGAGAACAGACAGGTGACAGACCTCCAGTTGACCTCCTGCAAGCTCATTTAGTGCGGAAGTGATTACAATTGATGGACGCATCCTCCAGTCATACATAAGCAAACAAGGTATATAACATTTAGAAACCAAGCATCTTAGGATTAATACCGCACTATGAGGAAGCTCTAAATATTGCTACAAGGTGGAAAGCAGACTGATAGGATTATTGTCCCTATKAGTTGGGGGAATCATGCCCTGAGGCCCTTGTCTCTCTGTTCCTGGCAACGCTGACCTCAATCACTGAGGATGTGGTTTCTCAGAGGCTCGCTAGAGCAGAGCACCCCATCCTGCAGGTGTTCCTGTCAGGCCTGTAGGAGCATAGGTTTTCCTAGCACTTGGAGCTGCTCATCGTTGTGAGTTGCAAACCTAAAGTTACTCCCACATTTCCTCCTTTTTTATTAAATTTGTAGCCAAAGGAGAACCGTGATAAGAGAAGGAAAGGAAAGAGAAAAGCAAAGTAAAAAGGGAAAAAACTACAGGCAAAGAGGCATGCRGAAGAGAAGGGGGAAAACAAGAAAAACATTCTAACAGCCCTTTCCTTCAGCTGCCCTTTCCCTGTGGTCCAACGTAAAATTAGAAAGCAAATCCTGCTGTGGCGGGTGGGCAACTGCTATTGGCCAGGTCTCTGCTACCTGGGTCCCGATATGAGCTGGGCGTGGGAAGCAAAGCAGCCACGGGGACAGGAGGACTCCCTCAGAAGGGGTGACGGTTCAGGCCCCTGCAAAGTTGGGGGGGTGAGGGTCTGTGCCCCACCTCTGTTGTCCCCCAAGTTCTGTCCTGATGGCCCCTCTGCGACTATGCCTGTCTTAGGTTGTTCCTTCCCTGAGGAATCTTACCCGTCTCCGACTAACGAGCCATTCTCCAGGGCCAAACAGGGTGATGTGAGGTGTTTGAGTGGGGGAGAGGCATTGCCCCTGAGAGGGTCAGTTCTCTATCTCCTTGGTAGCCAATGTCCCCATGGCCTCCATGCCCAGCATCTGCCTTAGGATCCCCTCGCCTGCTGGTGGGGCCCTGGCTCTGGTCACAGAGCCTTCTCCAGGGAGGGCCCAGCTCACAGCACTGGGTAAGAGAGACATATGGCATGGTACCAGCCTCCAGGAAGTTTCAACATCAGCATGGGCAGGAAAGTCCAGGCTGCAGCCTTGGACAAATGGCTTGTGAGAATAGTGTCCCTCTTGGTATAATGCAAGAGGGGTCATCAAAGGACAAAGAGGAGAAAGGCCCATCTCAGCAGGAAGTCCAGTTAGGGAGGACTTTCTTAGCCCAAGGTAACCCCATGGATGGGGAATATACAAGATCCCTCCCAGTCAAATTAGAAATGAGGAGGTGTCCTTCCTGGAACAATAGGGTAGGGAGATTTTAGAAAAGGCTGTGTTCAGGAAGGAAGGAGAACTATAGAACCACAGAACCAGCAAACAGTAATCAGGTGAGAAAAAAGAAGGGATATTGGGACAAAGCTGAGAGACACAGACAAAAAAACGGAGAACCGTGGCAAGATTTTGGACCTAATCCCCCATAGAAAATTGGCCCTTAGTTGGTATCTACTTAGATCCAATCATAGCTGCCATCCACACAGCTGAAGGAGACTCCTTATTCTCCTTTTGACTTTCCTTACATGCATAAGCTATCATAGCTTGTTTAGTTTCTATTTTGTTGAGCCTTTCTTGGAAGCACCTTAAAAAAACATACATTAAAACAAGAAGAGCAATGCCAATGCCAGCAAGGATCCAATTAGCAGAGTGAATTAAAGCTGACAGTTTATCCCATAGCTGCTGTAGAAATGAGGGGTTAAGAATTAGATTTGCTCTGGTTTCGTTTAGGCTGAGAATCTGGGAATGCAGCGTCATAGTGAAATTTCTGAAAGCCATATCCCAAGGTCCCTTAAGTCTATTTGCTAGCTCAAGCTGATCTTCTGTTACATTTTTTACTAGAACAGGGGTTTGGCAAACATACAGAAATTGAGGACTGCAAGGTACTCTGACATTTAATTGAAGCATATAAATTTTTTCATCAGTAAGGTCAAACTGTTGTTGTAACATAAAGATACCTCCTTGCAAGTGCAGGTTTAGTTGCTCCTGGGTGGTCAGGGCCCTGGTGGAGAGCTGCACTACTTGATTAATGGTTGTAGCATCTATTGTGGATTGGGTCAAAGCTATACCAGTGGCGGTAGCAGCTGTAACCACAACAAGGGAGGCAGCAATAATAGCAGTGGTAATGCCAAAATCTCGCCTAACTCTGGAAAGGGAAATATCTTTTGTTTTTTTTGTTTTTTTGTTTTTTTTTTAGTTCTCGGCAGACACAACATCTTTATTGGTATGTGGTGCTGAGGATCGAACCCGGGCCGCACGCATGCCAGGCGAGCGTGCTACCGCTTGAGCCACATCCCCAGCCCCGGGAAATATCTTTTGTAAAATGAACCTCTTGAATGGAGGACTCATCCTCCGTTGGGAACCACAGCATGCGGGGTATTCTCATTAGCACTGCTGTCTTAATGGAGGAGTTCCAACAATTGGTCAACTCACAGTGGGAATTATTACAATTAACACAACCATTTTTGTGACTTTGAGTGGAGGTTACAAAGAAGAAAGATGGCTTAACACACACATGACCTCGAGTAGCATAGGTAGCTGAGGGATTTTTCAGATGGCATCCATGGTGACAATAGGGCTGACATCTTTACATTTGTAAGTACCAAATAATAATTGTTTGCCTAATTGTAAAAAAATCTCCTGACAGTTTTTCTTTTGTATTTTGAGCATTTGTTATCCATTCTGTATGTCTTTTGAGAAGTACTGTATTTAATGAGAATTTTATTTTTTATCCTCCTCTTAAGTAGGGCCTGGACCAACTGATAAGCTCATCAGAGAGGAAATAGGGTCGGGAGAGGGGGAGGTAATCTCTCCAGGAAATCCCCCTTAAGGGTATGTTCTCACTGATATTTTTAAATCTTTTCCATGGGCACCGCTGTAAGAAGGGTTGAGGCCATGAATGGCAAATCCCTAGCGTTCGTGGGCATGGTAACACCAGCTGGCAAATCCTTGGTAGAGACCACTCTTGCTTCCCCTTCCAGGGAACGGGGCCAAAAGCCCATGAAACCTCCTCTTCCCGACTCCCAAAGGATGTCATTATGAAAACAAATTGTATGTTTACATACTTTGTTTGCATCTGAGACATTATTCAGGATGGTAAAGGTCCATGTTGACTAACTGAAAGTGATAAATTCCAAGGATGTTGTGCTATTGGGTCAGAGGTCACAAGGCTTGGGATGAGACAGTAGTGGCAAACAAAAAGGCAAGACAGTATCATCTAGACCAACAGGTAAAAGGATCCCAGGAGACGGAGCCCCCATCCACCATGTATGTACTTGTGGGCTGGTGACAGAATAATGCACAATAGCATATAAATGCAAAATAGCATATAGAGAGCCTTTGTCTGCATTGATGCATGAGAAAGGAAAAGTCCAGTTAAAGTCTCAGCAACAGCATGAGTGGTTTTCACCCGGTTGGGTGTGATCCTTCCAGTTAGGTGCAGAAGAGCGTTGAGTGCTGCAGTTGCAATTGTGCCTGTGAGGACAGTAAGCTTTATGACAATGTCGGTCCGGGGGACTCCTGCTGCCCTGAGTTTTGTCCTTGGGATGTATTCTGCAAGATTTAAGAGAGAAGTATGTGCAACATTCTGATCATGATTGAATGGGTGTGGATTGCTCTCATGTTTTTTTATTTGCAGTGGCATGAGTATTTTGTTCATTGAAGGGTTTTCGCCGCTAGGTGGCGCCAAAGACCATCTGCTTTGTAGATAGCTGTCTGTGAGCGACAATTGGGGGCCATGCTTTGAAGTATGCCCACTTTGATCAGGCAGGCCAGCATAGGGCCTTGAGTTATTAGGCTGTTAAGCAGAGGCCCTTCTTTCCACATACTTTCCTGTTAAGCACTTACCTGTGAGTTGCAGGCTATAATGGCCCACATGAGCATGAAAAGAGTACCAGGACTCTGGTCTCCAGTGGGTGACATGTTTATAGCTTGATCCGTCAGGATTTTAAGATCAACTCATGTTATTTTGGGTGTCCTCCAGTGGGGGGGGTGTCTCGATGATTTCCTCCTCTCCTTTAGGCTCATTTTTCGGAACTTGGATATCAATGGCTGGTCTGACATTTCTTGCTGGTACCCAGATGGTAAAATACAGGTGAAGCCTCT